TTTCCCTATACACATTTTTGTGTGTTTTTTTCTAGTTAGCTTATACAGTGTATTGTAATTGATTTCACTGCTTAAAATTGAATCAATATTTTTGAGTGTGAACATTTTTCACCAAAAAAAATGTAGTAATCATATAAACTTTTTTAGAGTGTAGATAGTAATTGTTTAATTCCCAGCATCTGATACAATGCACTGATTGTGTATACACAGAAATCTGCATTTTTCAACAGAGAATAAGAAGAGAGACGTAATAAATAGTTAGAAATGAAAGAGAAGAAACAGTGTCTTCCAGCAGCGCAGAACTAGTGTGACTGGGTTAAAACTGACTATTGGAAACTAAATGCTGCTGCAGCTCTTCAATAAGATGATCATCATAGATGTGAACTATTGTTATTTCTCTGTCTTCAGTCTGTATGGATGCAGTTTTACAGAGAAACAGAGTCTCATCCTGACTTCAGCTCTGAAATCAAACCCGTCACACCTGAGAGAGCTGGACCTGAGCAGGAATAATCTAGGAGACTCTGGAGTGAAAAACCTCAGTGATCTACTGATGAACCCACAATTCAAGCTGGAGAAACTACAGTTAGTGTCATTATACTGTACAGCAATTACAGTGTGACTGAAGTTTATTTATTTGAAGACAGCAGGGCTTATGTTTCATTGGTTATAGCAGTGCACTTTCTGGGTTTATTAAACTAAAACACTTTATTCTCAATATCTGACAGTGAGTCTGAGTTCACATTATATCTGTGTAAAATTCTTCACATTCATGATTTGTTTGTAAGATAATCTCTCTTCCTCTGTTTGTGTCTCTCTAGTCTGGTTGACTGTGGCATTACAGATGTTTCTTCTTTAACTCAGTCTTTGACGAACTCAAAAGCTCTGCAGTTTTTAAAAGAGCTTGATCTTAGACAGAATGAGATCGGAGACTCAAAGCAGCGGCTCAGAGACGAGCTACGAGACTCAAACTGTGTCCTGAGGTGAGGAAACATCACTGAGATATTAAAGACATCTTCATTTATCTCTGATATGTGAACAATCCTTTCAAACATTCGTGAAAGGAAATTATCAATAAGATTGGTTGCAACAAAGGGTTTGTGTGAGAACATAATGTGAAGTTATTGAAATGTTGAACACAAAGGAGGAAAGAGAAGAAAAGCTCACTGTCACAGCTTTATACATCAACACCTGCTTTATGAACTGTGTCAGTAGAAGTGAATCATTTGAGTGTGAAACAGACTTGGTCAGATTGTAGGAAACGCTGCACTCCTGCTAAAATCAGTGCAGTTCCAGCTTCAGCTCACAGCGTCCAGCTCACATGAGCAATGTCTCTGTCTCTAGTGTGTTTTTACTGTGACAAGCAACACGTCACAACTACTCGACACTTACTTACTCTCAGTTATTTTACTAAGAGCCTACAAACATGTTTAAACTAGAGGACAAACGGCTTTAACTAAAGGTTTGTGTTTAACTCAAAATAACATTAGTATTTGCTCGCTGTGGTTTATTCCATACGCCGTACACTCATTAGTTTCTCCTTTACAGAGACTCAATAGGAGTCGCACCGACACACACAGACACACATATGAACATGATTCAAGCTTTACATCTATTATATTTAAAAATGCAAATATCTCTATCCAAGATCATGTAAAGTCGGTTATTAATCTGATTACAGGAATTCACTTCAACGTATTTTTGCTTAAAAAACAATAAATTTATAATATCCACTTTGTTCCACTGAACACTGATTGTTTTCTCTTCTGCTCCACTTTACTGTGTAGATGAAGATTGATCATCAAACGTCAGTGGATTTCCATCAAGGTTTAAATCTGTGAAACGGAGATGAGAGGAGCAGAAACCATCAGGTGATCCACAGAAGAGTCTCACTGCTGTCTATGAGGAGAAATACATGTGAAGAGTTCAGATGCAAAAGCCTCTAAATGCCATTTCAAATTTTCTTCTTTAATGATGATTTTTATCAAGCTTGTATATTTAAGTTCAGTAATTTCACATGAATAACAATTAATAGGTAATTATCATTGCCATTTAAGTGAAATCACTGAACTTAAATATACAAGCTTGATAAAAATGATCATTCTAGAAGAAAATTTCAAATGGCATTTAGAGGCTTTTGCATCTGAACTCTTCATGTGTAAATGTGTTTCATACAGGTGGAAGAGACTCAGACTTCACTATTAAATAAAGCAGCGTGTGTGTTAGCATGCGTATTAGAAACATGTGATATTGAATGATTAATGTTGGTTTATTATTCAGCCAAATGATGGTTTAGTTGTAATTAAAGGTGGAACAGAGGAAGAAGCTCAGATGAGTGTCAGCAGAAATCTTCACTATCAGGCCTGCAAATATAATAATGTTTAGACTAAACTCATCCAGAATTATTCAAATATTTCTAATCATGAACGTGATTGTCAAGTATAGCACATAAAAGATCTAAATATATGTTTCAAAAGATATAAAGTTTACATGTAACCTTTAAACCTTCACATTATCTCTGTCACATTTTATACACAGAATATGTTTATTGTTATTGTTTTATTCTATATGAAGTTAGTGTGTGTGTGTGTGTGTGTGTGTGTGTGTGTGTGCGTGCGTGCATACGTGTGCGTGCATGTGTGTGTGCGTGTGTGTGTGTGTGTGTGTGTTGCTGATGCACAGATGTACAGTATATTGTCTCTTCTCCTCTACAGACCGACTAAACATTTTCCCCAGTTAACAGCATTTGTGTGTGTTTCACTCGCTCCTCAGATAGCAGACGGATGTGGGCCACTTCAGGCGATGATGCGGCACTGCAGGCCTTCTTATGACCCGACAAAATGTATGTGAGCCTGAAGTGGCCCACGTGTAAAATGGCAAATATGGCCCAAATATCTTAAATCACATGTGGGCCTTTTTAGGCAAAGATGCGGCACTCATGGCAATGTGTAATCTGAATGTGGGCCTAAAGTGTCTCATATGATAAATAATGAATATGGCCCAAATATCACAAACCAAATGTGGGCCACCTATGGAAAAAATGTGGCACAATCAACAATGACTAATCTGGGTGTAAATCAAACATGACCCACATATGTTGCAGCAAATGTGGCCCAGTTATCTTAAAACAAATCAGGGCCAGTTTTATCAAAGATAGGGACAGTAATCACTGTGAATCTGAATGTGAACCCATGGGCGTCAGTGTGGTCTGAAGTGTGCTGGGGACAGAGACACATTCATTTATTTTTCTCTTTCACGCAGGTCATGTTATGAAAGACGATGTCCTGTAGATTCCAGATGTAAATAAATTAAAATGTATCGTTCTATGAAGAAGAAAGCCTTAAGTTTTTTAAAGCATTAGACATTAGACATATATGACCCACTATTCTGCTTCAAGTAGCCGGCCATGTTGACAATATGACAACGGTCAAAAAAAATCAAACCCAAAGTACAATTATTATGGACGTTATCTGATATTAAGCGTTTCTGCTTCACATTTCAGCAGGGCAGCGGAGACCCATTACATTGCTAAATAATGACTGTAATGAATATAATCAAATCTGCTGTCAGGACATAACTCTTGAGGAGATTATTTGAGAAATAACTGAATTAAAGAACAATAAATCCCCAGGGTGTGATGGTCTGAGCTCTGAGATGTAGAAATGTTTTTCTGAGGTAAATTTCTTCTGGCTGTCTTCAGAGAATCTCTTGACAGAGGGATCTTCCTCCTTCTCTGAGGCGACACACACTTCATCTAAAACCTCACACACACTCGCTGTTCATTGACAATCGGCGAAAAATCTTTGAAAAATAGTCTCTACCAGTCGATCTACGAACGCCGATCCAAGTGCGCTGGTGAGATGTGAATAAGGTGATAAGGTGAGCGCGAACAGTAGGCTACGTGTACATATTGAAGAGAAGAAAACGGTTCGTGTTTGTGTTTCTTCTGGAAACAACGGACCATATGAGATTCTGCACAGTTCAGCGCACTTGGATCGGCGTTCGTAGATCGATTGGTAGAGACTATTTTTCAAAGATGGCTTCTTCCTGTATTCTCGAAGTTGACTGTGTGTATAAAATATCTTCTTATTAAACTGTATGGACACTGACAAAGTTCTCAATGCTTCGGTTTGAATGTAGGGACCCTTATTATGCTGTCGTGTTACTGTGGGGCTATTTTGAGCCTTGTTAGTGGTAATAACAAGTGATTTTTATTTGTCATTACTCTATGCCCCATATACTAGCATTATAGGCTAAACTGTTTTTAGAGATAAAACTAATTACATTCGGCAATCATGAAAACAAAACTCAGATAACAGTTGACTAGGTAGCAATCAGTGATGCGCGGGTCAATGTATAAACAACCCGCAACCGACCGACGTTTTCAACTACCCGCCCGCGACTCGGACCGCAAAAAAAAGTAAAAAAAAAATATTGTACCCGACCCGCTTCCTGACCGCATTTTTTAAAAGTAGTAAATGCTCATCGGAGCGTTATTGGGACATCTCGTGTAACAACACAGCATCGCAAGAAGAGGCCTACACATAACAAAGGCAAAGCCAGCACTTTGGTCATCATCTTTCATTATTTCAGCAAATGTCTCCCACACTTTTACTCTTTCTATTTGTGTATTTGTGGTATTTTGTCAAGTATTTAGACACGAGCCGAGAGACATGTAATCCACTGTATACAACTTTATTCTTCTTCTCCTTTTTTACTTCCACCAACTCACCCTGTCTACTCACTAGCGCCCTCTGTGTTCACTAACAGTTATTAACAGGACACAACATTTCCCCTTTTCTTAAAGGAATTAGTCACTTAAACAGGGTACCCGCAACCGCTGTAAAATAACCCTTACATTAAGGATTGCACCCGAAACCTAAATTTAAATTTAACAGAAATTAAGGTTATTCTGCTATTAGCAATTATAACTCAGACCTCAAAACAGTATGACATTTTCACATATCACAGAACAGTATGTGTAAAACAATCTGATATAAATATACTTCAATTTGCACAGTTCACACTTCAGTATTCATCTCTCAAAGTCTTTTAACCACCTAGGTGGGTTACGGACTCTGAGTGTGCGTCTAGGGCCTGGTTCTTGCCCAACATGCACATTCTCTGTCACGGTGAGACCATCCAGTGCAGTCTCATTGTTCTCACTGGTGCAAGCTAGAGCCTCCTTTGGGAAACGTGCCAGTTTTGAGGCATTCCATTTCCGACCGTCGCTGAGAAGATAAGTACCTGGTCCAACCTTCTTTACGATCGTCAGAGGTTCGGTGTATTTGGAAGACCCCTTGTAAACGTGTTCCGGTCTCCTGACTCGCACAACATCATTCACTTTGAAGGTGGGCACTTTTGCTCCTCGCTTTTTGTCTGTATACTCCTTACTGTTTTGTTGATTTTGTTTTACAGTTTCTTTGACTTGCTTGTGTGATGTAATTTTGTGTGAGACAGGAAAGATATTCAGTTTAGTGCGCATCTTTCTATTTCTCAGCAACTCAAATGGAGTCGCTCCTGTAGTAGCGTGCGGTGTAGCCCGGTAAATCTGTAAGAATTCTGTCACTGTTTGTTTCCACGGCTTGTGTGCTCTTTCTGCCGTCTGGAGACACTCTTTTAATACCCTATTGAATCTCTCAATCGCTCCATTGGCTCTTGGATAGTAGACGCTGGAGCGCAGGTGCTTTATCTCTCTCTCTCTCAGAAAGTTTGCAAATTCGTGGGAAGTGAATTGACATCCATTGTCAGAGACTAGGTAGGTCGGATTTCCTTCACGACTGAACACTGTAGCTAAAAAACGGGTAATCACCTCTGTTGTGACTGTAGAGGCGAATGCCACTTCTGGCCATTTGCTGTAGTAGTCTGTGAGAGTGATAGCATAACGACAATCCCATGTAGCACGTTCAAAAGGACCGGTTATGTCAATGGCCACCTTTTCCCATGGTCCATCTGGCAATTTGACGGATGTAAGTGGTGCAGGTGCAGTCTTCACTGTCTTGTCATTGTATTGGCATGACACACAGGATGCAATCTTACTCTGTACATATTTGTCCATTTGTGGCCACCAATACAGTTCTCGCAGTCTCTGTTTAGTGCGTATCACTCCCTGGTGCCCCTCATGTGCCAAGTCTACCACTTTGGATCGCAGTGATGTGGGCACAATCAACCGGTCAGTACCTCTCATGACAAGTGTTTTGTCTACAGCCAGTTCGTCTCGTACATTGAAGTATGAAATCAGCTCGTTTCTTACGTTCTTTCTGCATTTTGGCCAGCCTTTCTGTATTTGCTGTCGCAATTGAGTCAGTTCCGGACAAGAGTCACATGCGGCGGTGAACTCCGACAAGGATATTGTCATGACTCAACGGATAACAGGAAGCAATCGCAGGTGTAACACTTTATTAGCTCAAACAAAGTCCAAACAGAAAGACACGGGCATGGAGGTGACACAGGGACGTTGATGGTCAGCGTGGAATCCCAAGTGGTGCGGTGAAGACAGACGGTGAATAATCCTGCAAACGGTGACGATCCAACACCAACGATAATCCACGAACAAGACGAACTCCACAGGAATACACGACGAGAGACTCAGGAACACAAGACTGGAACACCGACACATCCAACAACGATCTGACAATGGAGATGAGAATGAAGTGAGTATATATAGTGAAATGAGATCGGCTGCAGCTGGTGATGAAATGATGATCAGCTGGAGTGGATCAAGGAAATCACTCAATCACTCAATCACTCACTCACTCACGCCCACCACACATGTGCTTTCATACAACAACAATAACACGAGACGAGAAGAAGGCAATGAATTTGTATACCGTGACAGTACCCCTTCTCCTAAGAACGCCTCCTGGCGTTCTCAGAACTCCTTACCTGTCGATTGTAATCATCGATTAGAGAGTGAT